CTTTTATTCCCTAATGATATTCACCCGGAGTTTAAAATTTGCGAAACAAAACGTTGCGGAATATGCCCTTATTTAAAACAGGGTAAAGAATTCACCTTCTAGCCGCCACAAATGAATCATTTTAGGTAAAACACTCGATGAACTGCACCTCAACGAACTTTATTTATGTAATAACATGTGCAGGATGTGGACATAATTACATAGGAGAAACGAGCGATGTCCTGAGAAATAGAGAGACAGTTCATAAACAATGCAACAAATTAGAGACCCATACACACGTATGCTGGGAGTCAGTAAGCATATTAATGAATGTGCTGCGGGATTGACCCGTCATTTCACTATCTTTCCGTTTTACAAGATTCTCAGCCCCTCTAAGGTTATGAGAAAGAACAAAAAGAAGTTTCTTATTTCGAGATATAAACCCGTTCGTAATGATTTGAACTTACGCTAATTTCTCACGCGCGCTTCGAATTATGATAGCCATTATTATCGTAATCACAATTAGATCTGTGACGTAATAAGTCAATAAGCACACTTTGCTGTGCCTGAAGAGCCGCAACAGTGGTGAAACGCGTAACGCAAAAGAAAAGTAAAAGTAAAAGAAGACTTTCGTTTTTCACTGGTTTTAGTATCTTCATTCGCCACAGAAGTTTACAGTTTCTTTATATATAGAAAGTTTTAAAAATTGCGAGGATGGACAACTTCTGACGTAAAAAATATAAAGAATTTTAATAAAAAACGTTTCGGTCAGAGACCTTCTTCAGTTATTTACCTGGTAAATAACTGAAGAAGGTCTCTGACCTTGAAACGCAGTGCGTCGCTTTGACTTACAATACTGAGAACCTTGAACATACATTTTGGTCTTTGTTTTTTTTTTAATTTCTATCAGTGGCACAAGAACCCAATATTCCAGTCATGAACAGCACTAATTTCATATAAAAGTGAAAAAGCGAGAACAGTTTGCGAGATTAGCGCAGACCAGAAGTTGCTCGTCAAATTGACGTGATCAAAAAAGCAAAATTTATCCCAATTACCGACAATTATCACCTTCAAGACCACACACATTTTGAAAACCGGATTTATTGTAGAGTCGGGTCAGCCTTCGGGACTCTTACCCTCGTGACGCGTGACAGAAGAATCAGTAACGGTTTACTTTACATCTTGCCTGAGCGTGTTCTTTATGATATCAGTTACACAGGAAGCCTGAACCTTCAGCACAAGTATANCAAAAATAAAGCATGGGGAGGTTTAGAATATGAGGTCTTGGGTAAGGATTGAAATTAAATTTCCATTGTAAATTTCAATGCTCCATTCCATATCTTGCTCGTTGTAACTTCATTAACAAAGACAAAAATATACACTTCCAAACTTCATTTTCAAGGAGGTTCAGTCCTGTTTTCGTAGTCTAACAAGAGAAACTTTTTAATTTCCTCTTTAACCTGCCAGACTATTCAATAACATCTCTATGTGACTATTCAAAAACGCACTTATTACTACTTTCAATTATTATTCAGATGTTTTTGTACGTTGATTGAAATATTTTCATGTGTAATATCATATATCTCGAAATTTACTTTTACAAATTAATGCAGGTCACAGTAGGCAACGGAAAGCGGAGTATTCCTTTTTAATCGACTATCACGTCAACGAGGTCAATAAAACAACTCCCTTTGAGTCCACGTAAAAACAAATAAAATAAAAATAAAAAAATTCTAGGTGAAGCAGACATTATGCATTTATATTCAACTTGAGGTCAACTGGCAGGTTCCCGGATTTCAATCGTAAGCGAGTCATATTTACAAGTAACTCAGCCGCGACATAGGAATTAGATAAACAGGAAACTTTCGCCACGTCACATCAGTCACACAAGAAGTTGAAATCTTCAGCGGAAGAAAATAAGTCAGTTCTCTTTAAGGTAGTTTACAAACGTTACTCTCCAGAAGACCCAAAAAGTCTCCAAAAGCTGCAATGGACACTACAAAGGAAGCTCGCACAAAACGTACAGACGACGTTTCTCGAAAGAGCGCATCAGTTCTTTCTTTCATTTCAATCCTACTGATTGTTGCGCTGTTCTTGAGAATGGAGATGATCAACAAGCGAACGGAAATGAACGAACTGCGCATTTTAGCTGTTGAAAGTCGCATGAAGATGACAAATAAAGCAGATGAAAACGTCCAGAACAAGCCAAAAACGTTCACAGGTAGGCACAAAACAATTCACCTTCATCCAGACAACTTTGAAGTTTGACATGAATTAGTCTAGCTTCTACAATTAGATTCCTTGCGAGACAGAATATGAAATAAAATAAATTTGCTAAACTACCTTTAAATGGTAAAAGGGGGTAGTTTCTAAAGAAACTGTGGTGCTGTGTTGGTGGGGTAACAAGTTAATTTGGTAATATCAACTAAGTTGAAATTGCAAATTGGCCACCGTAAAGAGTTAAAAAGCTGACGTTTCGAGCATTATCCCTTCGTCAGAGCTTCTTCGTTCTGACGAAGGGCTAACGCTCGCAGAGTCAGCTTTTTAACTCTTTACGGTGGCCAATTTGCAATTTCAACTTAGTTGATATTACCAAATTGTCTTTAAATGGTGTTTATTGATGAGCTCCAAAAGTTTTGCTGTGCACTGTGAACGTTTTAATATTATGAAGATCATAATAGGCTGTAGTCAAACGAAAAGCATCATTTTCAGTAAAAAAAATCATCATTCCGCCTGGATGAATAAGTCTATATTTGCTGTACAGTGGGAGTATGATCTTGACTTATTTATCTGAAAACTGCATAAAATATATGAAATAAGAAATTAAATAGCTGAAAAGGAAGATCAAATTGGTCACATCTAACACTTCCTGACTTGTAATACTTCCCTTTTTCATGTAGAGATAGGATTATAATATGACTAATAGAATATAACAGTCCATACCTTCTACGGGTAATATATATACGTGACTTGACGAATTAAAATCACTTTGCTTTAAACCAGTGATTCACTGAGATGGGGCTGTCTTAATAGTCCACAATGAAATCTTGAGAGAGGATTGCTCTGAGTGGTAATGAGCTGATCGATAAACTCAGATAATGAATGAAAATGTATGCTAAGTGCAAGATTCAAACGTGCGTGACTATTCACTTAGGTGCGTTACTCTTGATTTAAAATTTAAGCCTTGATCCCCCTTGATTACACTTTTAATTACTCGTCTGTCAACGTATAATATATCAGTATTGGCTTTATTACGGCAAGTCAGTTTCATTTTAAATCATCAGTTATTTCACTCTGCCCGTTCACGTTGATAGGAGGAAATATCTGAAAGTCGTTGGTCCTTTTTTCGGTTTTAGTCTATTGGTCAATTATTTCCTTAGATCTATTACAGTTATAGCCGTAATTTTTCTTTTTTAGTCGAATTATCATTTTTATCATCATCTTCAACGTAATCGGATGCGTTCAATTTACTCCTTTGACTGTGAACGTTGAATAAATTTTCTCTTTATAAAAATCATCTCCTTGTAGAATGCTTCACCAACATCGCTCAATGCCTAAAAGGGAACCCCCCCTTTTGTCCCCCCCTGAAAACTACGTGATCCCCACAAAATCCTCCGACCCCACCCCAGGCGATGACTAGCGATTGGTTTCTGAGAGATCTGCTCTGTTCACATCTGAAAGGCGATAATTTCTGATATAGAATCAAATTGTTTTGACAAAGAAAGACTAGGTCCCATATGAATAAATGTTTTCTTCTTTTTTCTGATAGTATTTGAAACATTTTTCGCTTGTCTGATACACAGATTTTGAAGGTGTAATGAGGAAACATCCTGTGGATCATTACAAAAGGAAGAAAAGAAGTAATGCTCTAAGTCCAACGGTAGGAACAATAAATTTACAACAAGTCCGCAAGGAAATAAATAACAAGCTCAGTGAAGTTTGTAAATCCTCTCACAGTATATGCCAGGCAGGACCTCCAGGACCACCAGGAGCCCTTGGATATCCCGGATATAAGGGAGAGAAAGGGGCCCCTGGAAAGGAAGGACCACCAGGCCCATCGGGGTCTATCGGGGCTCAAGGCTTGGGTGGCATAAGAGGACCTGTAGGACCTCAAGGAGTAAAGGGAAACAAAGGCGACAAAGGGTCTGTTGGAGCAACTGGGATAAAAGGAGAGACGGGAGCGAAGGGTGTTCATGGACGACAAGGATCTATTGGCTCAAAAGGAAATAAAGGCAACAAAGGATCGGTTGGTATTCAGGGACCGAAGGGAGAATGTGTTGTTCCTCCGAAAATCACTGTGTATCCAGTATCTCAGGAAGTTTTTGCAGACGAGACAGCAATATTTTACTGTTGGGTTCAAGGCCAGAGGTCGTCCACGATAACATGGCTTAAGCTTGGAGGTGTCCTATCTGATGCTACTGTGGAAGATGGTGCGCTTCGAATCAGCAGAGTACAAAGGTCACATGTTGGATCCTACATGTGTACAGCTTACACTGGTCTGGGAATGTTAAGAACAGTTGGCAGGCTTCAGATAAAAGGTAGGATATTTCAGTTTAAAGCTCTTTCTGACTCTAAATCTTGTTGCTGAAAGTCATCATCATACGCTTTGCAGTTGACTGACGAAGTCATTGTCGGATGTCTTCCAAACAGTTGGTACCCTTAAACCCAACGTCACAGTCAATCATTTTCCCAACTTATAACACAATTATTGAATTCTCAGGAAGGATAGATATAGATATAATATCATAGTTATATAGATATAATTATGTAGCCAAATAATATGACCAAATTTGGTTAACAGTAAAGGATAACAATAAAATATCATTTAGGTCTATATTGTTTTTATGACGTCATTTTTATTCAATACATTTGTCAATTTTCCCTAGCAAACTCATGGGCATAATACTGCTTCCTTTCACCCTTCAAATGTCATCCATGTTAACCTAACTAGTTTCCTAAGCTTACCTAATTAATTTAACAATCATATTTACTTCCACCGCATTTTTTCAGAGCCACCGAAATTTACAAATAAACCTTCTTCAAAGATCATTTTAGTGCAAGGAACTCCAGTAAACTTGTGCTGTGAGGCTTCTGGTTCACCACCTCCCAAAATTGAATGGTACCGGGCTCAGAAGAACTCTGTTCCCATCCCAGCTTACCATGACCAACAAGACGGATGTCTCTTAGTTAACACAGCCAAAGATGACAGTGAAGTGGATTACATCTGCCGGGCCACGAACAGCTTGGGATTGTCTGAGACAATTACCAAAGTTATCGCGACGAGATCGATCGGTAAGCAGTTACTTTCGATAACAGTTTACTTTATCACTCGTGTGAACGTGTTCACACAAGATGCTCAAACCAGAAACGGAACTAAAAACTCTATCTCTCTCAGCAATTTAGATTGTTAATTGAGAAAGGGGTTTACAAGAATTCCCGTTAAGCTTATTTAACGAAGAAGTTCTTAATATGTTCTTTCGTTTATTTTAAAGCCGGTGATTGTTGAGCTGGTTCTGAATTGGTAAACTGTTCTGTCTCCAAAAGCACCTTCACATACGATGCAAGTTAAATTTCAGAGCCCCACATAATTTTAATACTTTTATTCTAGGTATTTCATGCGACCTCATTCACCGACTCGGGCAACCTGGTAAATCTGATGGGATCTACTATATTCGTAGTGAAAAGACTACCTTTCGTGTAAGTATAAACAATCAATAGCAGAAGATTTTCTTTCCTTCTCCCACGAATCTGCGAGGGAACCACGCTAATGTGAGTAAATCAATTCATTGTTCGAGAAAGAAAGGGCTGCAGCTCATCTTAGACTATTGTCCGTTCCTGCGAAACTTTATATGCGATTTCAATTCCCTCTGGCTAAGAACAGGTAGATTTCCTCCGACCTCCCGTGGAGAACAAGAACAAAATATGAAATAAGAAAAAGTACAAAAAAAATTATTATTCGGCTTCTATTATGCACGCGAGTTATACCAAAGCCAGCAAGACCATATAAAATGTCAAAAGTCTTAAGTTACCTAACACCGCCTACGAGAGGCAGTATCCTAAGAAGGGGCACTAGCCTACGTAGCCAGCGGTTTTATGTTCATTTAAAGAGTGCCCTAAAGCGATGGGCGACGAATCCGCGAGAGGCTAGGAAAGGGATACAGTTTTAAAACTGCATGCTGAAATTGCGGTGGATCTTTAGTTTTTTTCATTTCAACACCTGACGAAAAATTTATATTCGCTGTGAATGCTAAGATGTCAATCGAATGCTAGGGTGATCTCAAAAGGGAGTTAAAAGGGACCCTTAAGAACAATTTTTGCGATTTTACTGGATATGTCAATAGCGAACCTAAACAAAGAAGAGGTGGATAAAAACAAACCTAGAGCTCTTTGGATGTTAACCTAACTAGTTTACTAAGATTACCTAATTACTTTAACAATAATATTGCCTGAAGCTACAAAGCGCTGATTGTTACTTGTGAGAATGACATCGAGAAGGCTCTTTGTCTTGTCAGTAACGCGTGTCGGTTTCGTGATTTTATTACCAAGGCAAAATCGATCACAAAAGCCGACCAGGTTCCTGTTTGCAGTCCGGCCCTCAGCAATACTGAAATACATATCTTGATTGTTCTATTGTTTTCCAGGCTTCAAGTTCCTTCCCCCTTTGCAACAGCTTACATAATGACCATATTTACCACTGTAGCGGCAAGCGAACATCAAGGCCAAATGAAGCGCTGAGAAAATCGCGACCGGAGAAAATAGCAACCAAACCAGGGGATACGTTACGGAAACTTAGCTTTAATCAATCTCGTAAACTGTAAGCGAATTAAAAAAGGAGACTTATATAACCAATTGTACTCAATTAAACACGTGGTGACTCAACAGCGTAAATTAATCTAACATAATAAAAAGAACTAATAAATAAAGTAAGTGCCACGGCAAACACAAAATATACTAACAAATAAAGACAAAGTAGCTTGTTTGAAACGAGATAAAGGAAAACTATTACAAGAAATAGCCTCTTGACGATACAAGGCGGCGAGTAAATAACACTCACAAAAGCATAAGATATAACAAAGGAAACGCTACCTTGCACAAATGGAGCAAGCTACAAAAGTGAAAACAAGCGAATATAACTTACATATCCGTCACTATACGCCGGCGGCTTGATACCAAAACTTAAGAGGTAAACTGAGGATGGACGCCAAATGATGAACAGTGAACAGTAAAAGAGCGTACGATGCAACAACTAAAAATCAGCGAGAGAGAAAAACTACCCGAAGGAATCACATGGCAAAAAGGCCAACTGTAACTGAAATGTAACGCAAATTCAAAGTCACGCTGTAAAAGTCACGCATTTACACCACACTTGCTTCACTTGCGACATCGGGCTGGACAATTTTTACTTTAGGCAAAATGACCTTCTTTACCACAGGTGAAAGAACCGCTTTTCCCTTTGTCTCCACGCCCAGGACGTTCTCCAGCTGCATGGGTACCTGCTCCAGGTTCTTGGCTTGGTGTGACCATTTGACTTGCCTGCTCGTGTGAGGCTTCCCACTTTCGAACTTTATCCATTGCTGCTTCCAGAGTAATATTAACGACCTCCAATAGCTTCTTCTTTAGCTCAACATCAGGCAACTTTTCAATCAATTGATTTTCTTCTAAAGTTGGACCAAAATTACAATCACTAGCTTGTTTACGTAAACGAGCCATGAACTTATCGGCGGTCTCCGTGCCCTTTGTCGGCGTAAGTTGACGAAAGACATGACGCTCGTACGGTACATTGTCCTGGGCTCGAAAATGAGCATCCAACTTTCGCATACACACCACATACTCATTATCCTCGTTAGCATTCAGTGGTCCAGGATCTGGAATATCTTTGTAAATATCTCGCACTTCCATACCTGCTAAATGAAGTAACTGAGCTGTTTTCCGAGAAGGATTCGTAATTCCCTTGCCATCGATGTAATACTGATACGATCGTTTCCCCTGTCCGTTCCGCGACCTGAGAGGAAGAACCTGTTAAATCTAGAGGCGAAAGCGCTCTTTCTACTGAATTCGATCTCCTCGTCGCCTATTTTTAGTGTCTAAAAGTGAAAAAGTAAATCATAAAATGCAGCCACAAAGGCGGAAAACAACAGTACACATAGTACACGTTTCTTTAATAATCTTCCCGCGCTGACACTTCCCCGAATGTATGCTTTTACATATACAACCGCTGTCTTAGTTTACTACAAGACTATTGGCATGGGGAAATTTCAGACAGGTGGTCGCCTGACTCGCCGTCAGTATACTAGCTGTATACTGTTTCGAGCCGACGGGGACTCATACAAAAAAAGCTGAACATGTTGGCCGATACGTTTTGACTTGTCAAGCTTAATGTCTTGTGTGCTTATTTCAGCGATGGAAATAGAATTAAGATAAAAAGTAAAATTTGAATGGTTAAAAAAATATTTGAAAAATCCCCTTTTTCAACGGTTCGGTATCCGTTAATGACTTTTATTTTTCTTTTAACATTACTGTAGGTCTACTGTGACATGACAACAGACGGTACAGGTTGGACTCTTATTGCCCGATTCTTAAATTATGATATCAAGAACTGGATGGCTGATACCGGATATTGGTGGTACGACAAGAAAGTTGCCACGGGAAAGACAAATAGTCCCTTCACAAACGCTGACATGATCTCACCAGCATTTTGGTTGATCAGAGGAAACGAATTTAAGATCACGCGCAGTGACGACTCCAGCCACACCCCTCTGTTACAGACCACAGGTGACTGTTTGGGTGGACAAACATTCCGATCGAAAATCACAAGTTATGGCGACTTTAGAAATGGCAAAGTCTGGGCCAGTGATCGGTGTCTGAGAAGTTGTACGGTTCAGTATGGTGGACAATACAAGTCAACAGACGGGTTTCAACAGGCTGAATGCAATGGAAACATCCAAAGCGCCAACAAGATTGGCTTCTGGTGTGACTGGAGTGGTGGTGATGGATCAGTGATGATGATTGGCGGAGGAGGAAAAGAATGTGATCGTGCAGATCATGGGATTGGAATAACAGAAGCTGAAGAGGCCTCTTTTGATGACAAAAAACAAAGTGAAAAAGACTTTGGTTATGGTAATGGTGGTGGTAGTCGCATTTCAACCCGTAAATCCCAGTCCTACTCGTTGAAACTATGGTTTCGTTAAACATAATTAGAGCATTACTTTTCAAACTTGGTTTAGACCAGGAGAACTTTATAGAGGATGCTATTCATTTAATGTCACATTGTGATCCAAGTTAGATGAACATTTTAAAATGGTCAGTAAAAGCGCATCTTTTTCCTCTTACAGCAAAGATAGAAGAACTTGACCATCTCCGCAGCAACAATACAAAGATCCTTAAACAGCTTTAGATTCTCACTGGCAACAAATTAATTGCCACTAGGATTTTTCTGCGAAAATCAAATTAAGTAGAATGGATTTAAGTCAGACTCGTAACTCATCGATCTTTTTAGGAAATGTGAAGTATTCATTAATTTTTTTTAGTAACGTCAGATATAAACTATGCAAGATGTGTTTAATGTTTTAACCGGATAGTTCATCAAGAAATTTTTCTGAAGCTACGTCGAGCACTCCATATTTTATTAAATTGGCATGAATAAATGAGATAAAACGATAAATAAATGGATGAATAAAAAGCTTTAAAACAAGGAAAAAGCCTGAGTGTAGTATCCATTGAACAGTTTAAAAAGATTATGTAAAATCTAATCAAAAACGTGCCCACGAGAAAACCGGACAAGAGGTAATAAAGCTCAAATCACCGATTTGGCTCAAACTTGTTACAAATTCCAAGTATCATGAGTTAACAAATGTGTGAAAATACTAGGCCAAAATATTTAATTCCTTAGGAGATATAGGGTCCCCTTGGGAAAACCCCCCATTTCCTGCATTTTTGGGCATAATTATTAGCTAAAGTTGCATTGCTGCTGTGACAAACCGAAAAGCCATCTGCAAACTCAATCAACTGGGTTGTTTTCTTTATCCATCAGACTTACTGAA